CAGACTGGCGCCAAAAGCATATGGGACAAAGAAAATAGAACAACAGGCAACCCTAACGTTGCTTGGGGCGTTCGCACCCCACCCGTCTGATCCGTTTTCCTGCATGCTCAAGCCCACATACTGACGTATTGCCAACTCCGTGAGAATTTAGGAGTCGAGACCCCAATTGACGCCCGTCGAATTGTTGTCGACGTCTACTGTAGCATAGACCAACCGCAGAATGGATCTTGTCACCGACCGTTATGTTACGGCAGGTTACCAACCCAAACATACATCCATAGCAACACAGCCGACGAGAGTACCAGGAAGCAAGCACTACATATGTACGACATATGAAGGCGTAGAGCACCGCCAGAAAACAAAGCAGCCAGGCCGATTTTTACCGTATCTTCGTTGCTCCCGCTCCCGGGACCGCAGATCTGCTGGGAATAATATTCTCCCGATAACCGACCACGGTATGTATTATTGCACCCGGCGTTGCAGATAGCGGCTTTGTCCTTGTTGCCCTGGATGGGTGGATGGTGGAAAACAAATGCGTAAGCACAGCTCAGGAGGGCCTACGAGGGTGTTAGTGGCAGCATTGCGATCAAGGCGAGCGTGTCTGTTTGCAAAAGGACAAAATGATTGACTCGGTGGTTCAATGGATGGCTTTGAAGGTTATCTTGTGCGCGTGGTACGTTGCCTGCTGTCGTGTAGAACAGCTCCGATGAAGAGGTTATCAATGAATAATTGCTTCATCCACCATCGGTTTCAAAGTCGTAATCAACGTCGACAAGTGACGATACCGGTACTGCGTTCCGCGAATGGATGTTGTAAATCATGGACCTCAGAGCTCAATTGGGCTGTGCAAACAACCGTTCTGTTTGTAGCACGGGTGCGGCTTGCCATACGCTGAGGTTCGAATCTGATGTGCTCGCGGGCAATATTCCCTTGGGCGTCTGGCGCAAGCAACAGTCTGAGAAACAAAATATCCCCCTCTGCCACAGGTTCCTTCAAAAGAGCAACTATCGATCAAGATATTGATGAACAGGTTAACCTATACTTCCCCCGTGTATCTGCCCTCCCTGCCTTCGGCCCCCAGATTGCCAACACCGCAGAAAAATCGAAACCTATTACCGAACTGTTCTCCAAGTTGGGTCAATCAATGTGTGACTTGTAGGTACAGGCGAGATGGACACAATCCAGTCGTTTGCTCAGTCGGTGACGATATCCCGAATGTCACCGGAATCGGGGTGTGCTCCTGTGGCATCCATGTTGTTCACGAGAAGGAAAAACAAGTATCACGCTTTTGGGCATTACCGGCGAACTACGTAAGCTAGCTCGGAGCAACAATGTGATGCCCTCAGTAAGAAAGGAAAACAACGTTGATGACTAACTTGAACTTACTTACTGTTCTCCTGCATGCTCAACGAAATGATTATGTCCAACAGCTACAAGCAGGCGCTCACGTATTCGAAGACAACCGTGATGAAGAAGGCCCAGCACAAGTAGCACATCATCACACTCAGTCGCTCCGTTCGACTGAAGGGGTGGAGCTCGTGCGCGAAGAACATGCTCAGGACGGGATGTTGGTTCTTCGCCCACACGCGAAAGTTACTCCATCGCTGCCGGCAAGGGGTTAAACCACAGACATAGGCGAGTACCGCGGGGCTTCCATTGAACTCTTTTTCATCCCATGCCCCAAGATAGTGTTCTGCAGTTTTCAACCATGTTTCACTATCGCCCGGTTATCGACAATCGGCTGGTCCAAACATGACGTAGTGAGCAGTGCCGCGTACGTGCCGCCGTAGTTCTGGATGCTATATTAGCGTTGTAGTTTTTGTAATACTATCCGCAGTCTTCCCCCGGGGTCAGATATGCGGTCGAACGAGACGAGAGCTACGGGGTTGTCGGCAGGAGCAGTATACCGCATCCAGAAATATATCTCATCAAAGGAACATGGCGTTCGCGAGGGTGTGATGGGAACACACAGGACGAAGTACACATGCCGCGCGCCTACAAGCAGCCACTGGATGTCGACTACAACAGCCTCGTCGAGTTACGAGATTGAAGTATCAACAGAATACCTGTTGCACGGCAAAGATACACCCAGTTGAATGGGAACTGAACACGCGGTTGAACCTCGGTGAATATGGAATGGACAGATGACAGGCTTCGCGGTTGAATCATCCTGTGTTACGATCGACCCGGAGCGCACCCGAAGGTGAATTCATCAGCCCCTCCTCTCAACCAGACGATCTCTTGCGCTCTCCCCCATCAGTGCAAGACAGCATGCGGACACCATCGTTGTCAAGCCCGGATTCTAATGTCTCGGTCCTACGTTCACGATCGATGTGCACATCTGCATCTTCATCGAGAAGGATTTGAAAGGATGCGCAGCGAGCTACAGTACACACAACTCACCGTTCCTCGGGACCCCGGCAAGCCATAGATCTTCCCCTTAAGCAGCATAAACACGATGTGCCGTCTCTGCGCCTCCACAACGTCGCCAACCTTCGTGTTCGACGAGGTGGTACCGGCATCGACGTTCGGGACATCAAGCAATTCCTATCATGGAGAGAATGCCTAAAGAGGTACTGCTCTATGTGGTGCAGGCTTTCTGTGTGGGGGGTTCAGCAGAACAGCGAGGACGGGTAAGTTTCTAACAAGTCGTACGTCAAGAGCACCTCCCACGGTCCGGGAAGCACGTTTCTGTGCTCTACCCGGTGCAGGTTTCAACTGTATGTAGTCCCATTATGTTCAGCATTTGGCTTTCGAGAGAGTTATCCCCATACGCCCAGAGAGTCACGTTATTGACTATCCCGTTCGGTCACGAATGCGTCTACAAGAGACTTCGTGACTGTTGTGCTTTCAGATGGGGCCCGCAGGCAAGAAAGCTTTGGTTGAGGATAGCAGACTCAGTTTCGCGCCATGTGATAATTGGGAGAACAGACACAGCGAGCCTCGGCAGCCGTCAGATCCGTAGCAGCCCTCTACGTAGACAAAGCAAGCAAAGCTAGCTGGTGGGTAGTTCGAATAAGAAGCACACACCCGAATGAAGATTGGGACAACCCCACACCCTGCCTCAAACGCGTTCATGTCTTTGGCTGCAAGGGGTGCGCTTGTTTTTTCAAGGTAGATCGACACTGCTTCATTGTTTTCTGTCAGCCGGTTGTGGGGAAAGTTGGATGGCGAAAACGCTCTCGGGAACAGGAGGCAAGAAATGTTTTCTTACAACTCAAGATGCCCGTGCGTGTCGGCACCACAGGAAATTTGGCTAGTTGTGCTACAATATGCTTCCAAATGGTAAGAAACTCCACGTTTCATGCTAGCCTGATGGAACAATTTTCTGGTGCAAGTAATACGTACCAATATGTTGTCTAGTCTGTGTACCGTGGTCTATGTAGACAGCTAAAGCTGAAAAGTCGGAGTTAACGTTTGGTGCCGGCGGATAAGCTCAATGTCTCATTCAGTAAGTATACTGCAGCCAAAGCCTGGGCGTTGTGTTGCTTACGAGTGGGCCGGCAATAACTAGCGACCCGACAGCGCACAGCACCGAAACTCGTACTTGCGCACTGCTGTGCAAACTTCGTGTACAGCTGAACGGTAGGTTGGTAGGTTGCAGCGAGCTACGGCTGTTGGATGGTATGTGTTTTGGCCCAAAACAAGAGTTTGAGCGTCGGCGGCGTGTCTTTTTCCAGGCCCTCTTTGCATGGGTTAGGACTTCTCATCGACACTCACGTCGACGTCTCCATTGGCAGCGCTCCATTGGCCGGGGTTCGCAGCGTCCTTGCTGCGAATTGTCAGAGGCGATCCCGGCGGCAAATCGGGTGAAACTTTCGATGTACCAAACATGGGGTGCTGCAGGGCTAAGAGGCGCCTGGTGTGCGTGCTGCAGTGCTTCGGAAATAAACATACAACAGAGGACTGCGTGTTGGGGGCAATTCCTCTATCGAAGGGAAGTGTTGGAATCGTAACGTCTATTGAGTGCGGCAGGTACTGGGTAATGAGGAATGCGGCGAAAAAGGAACCCGCGAAGTTCCGGTTCGGCGGTTTCAGCGGTGCGGCGGGATTTCTCATTTTCGGAACAACGGGATCCCGCAATCGCCACTTTCCCTCTCTAAGCCAAGCGGCCCTGGTGTACAACCTCTAGGAGACTGAAGCTCTTGGTATCGATCGTACGGAAGGTTGAGCTCGGCGGACGATCTTGAAACAGGGGCCACGGGATACCTTCACTTCGGTCCAAGGGACTGAATCAAACGCTGACCAAGATCAAGGTCACGCCGCCGTGAACTACGTAGGCGAGTTCGCGAGTTCTTGGTTCAATCCTGATGGTCACGTACGCGCGTGCTCTCACATGCTTCGCTTGCACCACGCAGATTTGCACGACTGAATGCCTCAGCAGATGCTGCTTTTCGAACAAACTGGTATATGAGTGCCGGCCATCCACTGCTTCGGCCGGAGGGCGATCTCTCCTATTTAGAGTACACTCAACTTGATCTTAGTCTATCTCTTGGATGTATGAGACTTGTACTCCACGCCTACGCTCACGAAGCCACCGGTGTCGGTTAATGTGCCCATAAAAAAAAGAAACTACAATATCATATTGCAACTTGATACATGGGAGGCGTAGTTTCGAGAAAACAATGTACACGGGCATATATCGTGCGGGGCGTGACGGTCACCACCTGCGTGCGTGGTTTTCCCGCCCCGTTGTTCTGCGTACCACTCTACAATACTACTACACAGTAAAAAGTTGTACCCCTTTAATGTGTGCTTCATGCGCCAGCTGGGGTCACGCAGGAAGACGGCACGAAATAAATGTTTCTCAGTATTCCCCCCTGCGGTGCTTGCCTCCAAGTTTCCCTCGAGAGTTCAGATTCAGCACTATTATAGGTGGCTGGGCAAAATTCGAAAACAACTACATACCTGCTACGATTGCCGCGCAGGCAGGAAACCATCTGCTGAAGCCTTCCCGTAGAGGATCGAGCGAGCCTTTCCAGCAGTGAGTGGTATCAACCATGGTGAAAGCTAAGGCAAAGAAGGCGACAATGGTCAAGGATGTCGTTGGGAAGGTGAGCCTCACGAACCCTCGTTGTCTTCGTCAACAAGCCTGCCTCAGGTGAGCCTCACGAACCCTCCTTGCCTCGTCAACAAGCCTGCCTCACCTACCCAAGTCACAATCGTACTCACCTACCAATTTTAGTTACACAATCGTACTCACCTACCCAAGTCACAACCTAATCGAAGTGATCGTGGGGGTGTGTTGAAGAGGGTGCGTCACCCGAGAGCTACACGATCGCCTACCTAGAGCCTAGATATCGCAGCAGTGTGACCTCTTTCTGTGCTTATGTTTCTTGTAGTTGGAGGTGGTTCATCTTGGGATAGTGAGAAACGAGTGACGAATCGAGTTACCAGTCCAGAGGTTTGACCTACAAGGCCCACCGTAACAGCTCTATGCCATAGTGGAAAGCCCCAAGGTGGTATTCCGGTAGCCCCCTCGTCATTCTCATGGTGTTGGTCCCTTAGCTCTGGAAGAAACATGGAATGCCTCTTGTATATAGGCCACAAGTCTGCAAAATGTCACCTTGGGAAGGCAGCTTGATGTGTTCCCGTCATGACCCTCACTCGTAACAGATTCGGATCCCGTGACTACCCTGAGAAGCCATAGAAACATGGACGATCTTTGTCTAACCCAACTTTTGTGTTGGAAGGCTGTTGCGTGCCGTAGTCGCCATTCTCTGCTCCATTCTCGTCGGACCGATCTCGGATTGCCGCAATATCGCTCACACTCACTAAGGTCCGGACGAGTACGCGAGAGCTTCCACCGTCTTGTCACACATACGGCGCCCTCGTCACAAAGGACGTCGAGGGGGCGGGAGCGGGTAAGTGAGAACCCACCGAGTATCACACCAAATACTGCTGTTGTGAAGCACATTACGAGTACCGGTATCGCTGTACCGGTCGGTTCAAAATTTAGCACGTGGTATACACCACGGCGTGTTGTGCAAGGTACCTGAGCAACAACCAAAATGATCTGCAGCCCGGTATCTTGTAGTAGGTACACGGTACACCTCTGCTTTGATAGATCTCGAGGTGCTCGAGGGCGACGGTGGTCGTCGCCCTGTCCGGCACTCATTCTTGAACCTCCTTCCAACTGCACCTGCATCCCAACACCAGAAGCTGAGGGGGACTACTATTCGCGTCGGTGAAACCTCACCACTAGTACCTGGCGGCTGTTCTGTGTATTCTTCTTGAAAAATGTTGCCGGTTATTCCTCCCCTTCTCCCAAATACACGGATGTCATGCCTGTACATTGCAGTAATATCAACGTGGGACGTCTCCAAGCCGTCGGTGGCAAAGTCGTCGGACCGAAACTTGATCAAGACGAACGTAATGGCCATCCACTACGGAAACATCACCGCCAAGGACAACAGGCTCTTTGCGCAGGTACTGCATGAAACTCGACAGCTACAACCCATCGCACACATCTTATTGCAAACCTCCTTGGCACACGGGTGCCTCCAAGTTTGAGACCTGCTCCAGTAATGACTTCCGGTTATCCCTGCATCCGAAACACACGTCCTTCTTCAGTATCTATGTTTTACCCTCGTCTGCAATGCCGCACGTTCTGGAAACTCTGAAACGATTTCGCCTAACGCGATCCATGAGCTCTTGCGCCTTAGGAGACCAACGACAAGCACCGGTTCTTCGAAACTCCTACAGTAGCGTCTTTGCCGGTGTATTTCACGACCAAGGGCGGGGCTAACTGGAATAGTTCTCGCAACCAACCGCACTGGAACACACTGTCGAAATCCGCATAATATGTATGTTATCCGTGTAGATATGGACCCATCTACTATCCTCATGTCAATGAAACCATCGAGAACCCAGTGCACGTCCACTGCAAACCCCAGCAAGTTGATATGCAACCGGTTATATTCACCACCGTCACAGGCTCACCCTGAGATCCGGTTCGCACCGCCGGGATCTACAACCATGGAGGGAGGCGTGCGCAAGAAAGACAAGGTGCATGGGTGTTTCGTTTGGCCAGGATAACGATAGCTAGATCGGGTCAGGAGTTGAAGCGGTTGATCGTGGCACTAGATTGTGTTGGCTTCGCGGATCCAAGGAGAGCGTATGATTCACAACCACGCCGGCTGAAAACATGTGCAGATCCCTTTCGATGGGCCGTACGGAACAAAGTCAGAAAAGATGGCGTGCCCGCTGTCGGCCCTCATCGAAGCAAGGTTCACCGACTTCAGCCAGGAGGGCAAGGACTACCCCAACGTCAGCGTGCTCGAGAAGAAATTCGTGAGCCCAAGTCCTCGTTATTGCCTATACGTTGATGGTGTTGGGTGGACTGCTATTTTTGCCGTCATCGTCGTCGTTGTTAGGTGTGGCTATGTATGCGGTTGTCGTCACGTAGGGCATCCGCCATAGTATAATGTTGAGACATGGTTGTCCTTGTCCTCGTCCAAAGGTGTTTCATCATGAGTAAGTGCGCATGCAGAGGGCTTCAAGCGCAAAACTAGTGTACAGTGCATGTGATCTCGGTACTTTCTCCATTCTCCTCAGTCATAGCATACTATGCAGCGTGTTGCGTGCTCGCCGGTGTCCAAGTTTATCGACTCGTGTCTGTCGCAGCCGGCACCAACTCCTCCGACGAGGTCGGGGCTAAATTGCCACAACATGTCTCACCCTCTTGAATCACTCTACCCCAAGCTCCACATGTTTAGTAGCAGCCCGCATGAGACATCCCCCCCTTTGTGTAACCGTATCGCAGCGAATGCCTCCGCCGAGGGAAACCAAGGCGTCCCAAGGCCACAACATCACCCTCAAGCCCACGCCCAAGCAAGGCACACCGGTACGGCCTTGTTGGTGTGCTGGTATTGTCGTTGTTGCTGCCTTTGTTTCCTCCTCAGGGAAGAGTGTCTGTTCGGTACCGTACCTTCAAAAATTCTTCCTATTACATCTTAGGCGGGCGCCTTTGCAAACGACTCCCCGAAAGGGTATCGTGGATACTATGAAAGTTCAGAGAGAATAATGTGATGATCCAAGCTTCAACACATGCACGAAATATGCAAAATGCTAGTATTAACACCTGCGCACCCAAAGCGTGCGATTGTCGTCCCTCGCAGTTTGGCTACTGTAGTCAAGGAATGCCGAAAATGTGTTTGGAACTGCGTGCTTTACAATCCGTGTGGCTGTGTGAGGGTTAGCATCATGACTTCGCCTTGCCCCGTTGGAAAATCGTGGCAGTGTTGGTCGTTGTTACCCGTGGAAGAACGGTTTTTCGGAATCAGCATGTATCTCATGGACCGGATACATACCGACAGATTTGGCTCTTTGTCCGTCAATACAATCTTCTCCAAATCATTCCAGATTGACACGAGCAGGGCTATCCCAGCATGTCGCCACGCGTATCCTCCCAAATCCTCTGTTTGCTTTTTTACATTGCGCCTGTGAGCTTTCATGCGACGTTCTTTGGATTTGCTTCTCCTAGCGCAACAGCCTCCCCCCCCCCCCCTCCCCATGCTTGTTCCGTTGTTGTACATATTGACGGTGGAAAGTTCGTGATGAAAAAGTTCCAGAACATTCCTGGAAAGGTCAACCCTCCTAACCCCGGCCTTCGGGCTTCAGCAACTCTCGCCGCCAGAGCCTAGGTCCTCCCCCTACCGTACGCTCAACAGTACAGTTCACACTTCACACCCACGGGGTTGTCACCGACCCCTTCATAAACAACGGTGGTCTGTAAAAGGTTCTACCTCGTTTGAGTTAGGTATTGGCGTCGAATGGAAGGCCGTGCTGCTTTCTCCCGAAGGGCACTCGTCAAGATACTCAGACAAATAGTGCAGTGGTCGGTGCTTGTTTCGGGAGTACCCCTTCCCTGGCAATGGCCGGTCGTCGGTCTACCTGTTACCAGGAAGCCAAAGTGGGCCGACGACCGAAAATCCGCGAAGTTGGACACCGTGTGTTCCTCGCAAGCTGAGGGTGTGCTTCCAAGGTTTCGCAGTCTTCATACACTAGCACCTCCCAAGGGAGGTAGGGCGGGGGCTGGGGGCTATGACAGTATCGAGAAATCAAGTCACGCAGCATGACGTTCACTGTTCGGGCTGTGTTTAGCAGGAGACCCACACCCCGTGAGCATGTACCAGTGTTGGATGAGCGCCGTTCTCTTCACGGCGATTTGATGCCAATCGCGCCTGGAGGAGGGTGCCGCCTGACTGGGTGGAGAAAGGAAACCATGCCCTGCGATGGCCGCAGACATTGCTTGGTTCCTTTGGTTTCCAGTTCGTTCTGTGCATACCCAGGCTATATTTGAAAGCTTGATTGAGGCAATCGTTTGGTGGAAAACGAGCCTCGTGTTGGGTTTCTGTTAGCACGCCATCCGCTTGCGTGTTCGTTGGTGTCGCCTGTACTCCGCCGGGACAGGTGCAGAGGGGAAGGGGGTCAGGGGCGTGACGCAGGACTCCTAGGGCTGGGGTGAGTGTAAGTCCGGTGGCGTGCTCTCATTTTTCACACGTGTCACTTAGAACCTTCCTCCTCACCACAAGGAAGGTTGAAACATCTTCAGGGCTCGTTGGCCAAACGAAGACGTGACAAGAGGTAAATCTATCCCGATACTGTACTCTAGACTACTTGGTTTTCCGTGGGGTTCCGTCATTTGGCAACCTGGTTTAGGACGCACCGCCGTATCTTGAGGGTTCAACATTTCGAATACTACGAAGACTACTTGACCCAATACTACAAACCAAATCCATACAATTCCTGTTTGGATTTCCCCACGGAGCGTACAATCAGTGGTCCTCGGGAGTAAGAAAATTGGCGCGTTCTGTATCGCAGGAGGCGATTTATCGTTTGTACTACACGCGGCCTTCCCCTGCTCGCCCCGGAGTGGTCCAGTTTGGTTGCCAGCTAATCCAAAAAGCCTCTGCCTCACAGTAGTTGTAGTCGCCAACTCCACGACAAACATTGTATCGGCGAGTGCCCCTCATAACGGAAACAAAAAAAAGAGACCCTCCGGAACTAGGTGGTAGGTGGTCTATGTAGGCAGGACGTGCTTGTCGGCACCTTGTATCGATACATTGTTGCCGCGTGTGCTGTTGGTATTGTGAATGTCGGGGAACAAAACATTCAAGCTACCGGTGGGAACCGCAACCCGAAACAACAACAACAACAACCCCGCTTTGTTGGTGCTACTACGCAGTATGTTGCCTAGACCTAGGCATCCATTACTGTGCCCGTTGTCTTCCCACTTCGGACGGCCACCACACCAACAGCACTCGGCGACGACGCTCCATTCACGTGTGGTTGCTCGGGAATATCAACTTATCATTTCATTTTCACAACAAAAGTCGAAGTCAAGCCCAAACATCACATCTCGTCACAAAGACACCATTCGATAGCGCTCAAGACTAGGCGCCACCGAGTGTACACTGGCTTCGATGGGTGCTGTAGATCCCGGCCCTTTTTACTCTGCCGATGGAAACCTGCTCATTCCATAGCTAGTATTCGTATCGAATCAACTCCTTGACCTGTTGCGTTGCTCTACATGCCGACGTACTCTTTTGCCCCGAGGCAACCCTCGTACTATTTGCCGAACATCTGAAACCAAGCCCTCGGCCCGTGTTCAGCTCCTAATGGTAGCAGCTTTGGAAAGGCCACTACTACCCGGCCTTAAAACAATTCATCCTCAAAGTTCGGCGAGCATGTGGCCAGGACCAGGGTAACACGGGTACGAGGGATGGACTACAAGTACCACAAGCTGCAACGATGTCTCTCTATCTGCCTGCTGGGGAAGGCCTTAACTCTATGAATAACCGCTATCCCTCTCGGCTGCGAGCATGGCGACTATTTTTTCTCCCTGCCAGGGAAAACTATCCGTCTTTCTCCGCCGCGAGCATGGCGAGTATCTCTCTGTTGGCGTCGGCCTTTTCGTCGGGATTGAGGGAGTAGTACTTCTTGCCGGTCTTGCTCTCCCACTGAACAACAGAGTAACCGTCAGCCAGGCAGCATGGAGCAGCGCGCCGGTGGAGTCAGGAAAGGATCGAGGAAGAGGAGACAAGGACGAGGACAAAATAATTAACACCACTTTTCATGACGTTGACAAGACGTCCGTCACCCTCTGCGGCTTGCCTCTCTCCCAATATAGATAACGGAATAGAGTTACCAACCCAGGCCGACGACGCGGGAGCAGGGTGAACAATGTGGGCCAAACTAGCAAAGGGAAAACACGTATTGGGAAAACCAAAAAGACAGAAAACGCTTCAAGAAAATTAGTCCGCAATCCTAGCCCCCTGCACGTCTAACGCGTTACATGAAGAGGGTTCGCCAGGATTTCCTACATGGCACACCTCATACGTGCTTGCCTTTGAGCCGGAGGTGCATGTGTACTCTTCACGGGAACCGCATTCCCCAACCCATCCTCAACCGCTCAGGCACCCCACCTTCTTCCAGTCCTTCACTCGTCCCTTGGAGGGCTCGTACGTGTGTCTGCCCTTCGTCACCCCCCTGTTGTGTGCCGCCAGCTTGGCCTTAAGATCCTCGTCAAAGCTCAATGCCGCCGAGTCGTCTTTGTCGGTTTTATTTTTACCGCTGGGCCGCCTGAGAAAAAGGAAAAGAGAGAAAACGAGCACGCACCGGAAAGGATTTAAGCGCGGAAGACCATCAAGAACATGAGTTTGGTAGGGTGCTAGCCATTGAGCAAGATCTTCACTCGGGGACATTGCTTATACGAACAATATGGTAGTGACACCAAACACAACGGCACGTAGTGGTACCACATGAAACCGTACGTTCGCGATTGCGTTGAATTTTTCAAGGCGGACTTTCATATCGAACACAAAACAAGTCTCTGCCCCGTGGGGAACCTATTAACGTACCCTGGGTTTGTCCCAAGGCGAGACGTATAGGTCGGGGGAATCATGTACCCCAGGGTCACGGAAGACGCAAATAAAATTACCCATACATATCGAAAAAGGGGGCCTGCTAAATACGCATCACGTAGGTACACTTGTCTCAAATAGTGCCCCGAGCAACTGCGAGCACTTACCCTAATGGTCACCAAAAAAGGTATTTCTACTCGGTATCCAAGGCTGGCGTGTATCACGCACGAACTGAACAAATCGGCAACTCTTGTTGATAATCGCTCGCCATCCAACAAATACGGGTCGAAAGGTAATATCACACGCTAGGTGACAAAATACCTGACAAAAAAATGCAAATCTCGTTGCGAAAGCGCAAACACCAACGGAAAACAGATCGCGACATAGGAACGCGAGAGATAAAATCACATGCGTGTTGACGGCGAAAAACCTTTGATGCTACGTGGCAGTTCCTCTAGATGGACTGACCGCCAGGTGTGTTCGTGCTCAGAAAGGACCACCGGGGACACCGGTAGTCCAAGAACACGCCCTGCTGCACACCTTTTCGTTCGGTCTGTCACGTTGCTTGACAGCACTGTCGGCCCCTTCCGCTTCACACCGGTTGATTGCTCTCTCGCACTCTTTGGCCCTCCAACACCACTGCCATTGCCGCTGACGCTGCGCTTCACCGTAGTCACCGGCTTCGACACCGTCTTGGGATTGCTCCTGGGAACGTTCGTGGACGAGGAGACGTTTTTCTTGGCCTCCGCCTCTGCCCCTCCGGCGATGGAAGCGGTGCTCACGCCTAAGCTTACACCACCTGGGGTGGAACTGACCGTCCCTGCCCTCCCCCTCGCCGGTGACCCCACCGCCGAGGCCACCGAACCCTTCAAAGACGCTGATCGTGACCCCCGGACCGCAGCTCTTGGCGCGGCATCCGCATGGGCCGAGGCGACACTAGTCCGGCCTCGAGTTGAGGCAGGCCGTCCACGTGCCGGCTTTGCCTGCATGGCCGCTACGCTCTGGACGGACGTCGTCTTGGATACCGCTCTCTTACCCTTGGTTGATGCCTTGCTGGTGCCTGCCCCTGCGACGGCGGTCGCCGTGCTGGACTTCTTCTGGCGGAACTCACGAAGCTTCTTCTGCATCGGGTCTTTGTTGTTGGCGACACCGATTTCATCCAGGACAGACTTTGTTGCCGCAGCTCTGCCGAGAGAGCTGCTCGTCGGTGCCTGCACACGAAGAATATAGTACAGCAGTTCACGTCGTTGTCATCATCACATTGGGAAACGTCGTCGTCGGCATTGTCTCCATCCAGGATAGTCATTTCTGCAATTCAAAAGCCCCACCAACCAAACGTTTAACAGGTCGTTTGCTACTCACAACTGATAGCCACCGCAAACATATGATACCCATCGCCACGAAACAAAATTTTGGTGCTTACAGGCCTAGCACGTCGCATTTTTTACCTGGGGTTAAACATTAAAATACTACGGGATAGCGCAGCCGTTACCATTCCGACTGACGCCGCCCGAATAATCGGAGAATTCCACTACCCGCACACACCAAGGAGGTATTTCGGCATCCTGCCTTCGGAGAGTCACGACCACCACCACAAACGTTGAAGTGAATATCAAAACATGCTTTCCTACCCAGTTCAGCAAAGCCAGGAAGGCTTCGGGGATAGGAACAACTCCGTATGACCCTGAGCGAAGCATCAGTACACAACACCCAGGGTAAACAGAAGAAAAAACCTTGAGGTGAGGGGGTGCCGTGTTTCTAGTGGGAGGGGTAGAATGCTGCGGCAACCTCCGTGCGTAGATTTTCGCGACATGATATTTGCGTAGGTTGTCAAAACCGTCATGAACGTAGCACGGTCGTCGACCGCACATGCACCACCAAACACAAAAAGAAGACGCTGCAGGAAGATGAGAAGTGGACGTGTATCAAGGTTGTGCGGAGCGAAAGGCACACGTGGCCAAAAAACGCAAGCATGCCGAGATTGTCAACCATAGAGCGATACAGCATTCACCAGGTACAATAGGACTCACCAAGACGCCGCCTGCCGCCCTCCTTTTCTTCCGCGGATCGTCGCCACTGGAATCACCGACCGAAGCCCCCGTTAACCCACCATCGCCCGACGCCGCGCTCCGTTGCCTCTTCCCTCCCACTCGTTCGTGACGTTGCTTCTGTTGCTGCTTCGGTCCGCCATGCCCCCCGCTCTTCTTGACATTCCTGCTGCTACCCGTCGGGTGGCCTTCCTTGCTGCCGCTGCCGCTGCTGCTGCCGTTGACACTTCTGCCGCAGCTAGCGGCAGCGGTGGAACTCCGATATCGTCCAGAAGAACGAGTTTTCCCGACACGATTTCCTTCCACAGGAAGGTTCCCGGATCCTTCGGAAGAACCGTTGGTACCGCCACCGCCCTGGGACGGCAACGCAAGACCACCGGGGGCCAAAGGCGTAGATGACGAAGAAGAAGGCCTACCGTAAGCAGCGGAAGCGGCAGCGAAAGCCGCGGCTCCGAGGCACAACTCTTCAGGCGTCTGCGCGGGTCTATTCACCGTGGAGCCCGTACCCGGCAACCGCCCCTCTCCCTCCTCCTCCCACTCTCCCTCTTCCTGGCACCCAGTGTGTTCCGCCTCTTTCCTACGTGGAACGCGAATGGCATCATCCGCGGAGGAGGAAACAGAAACTGTCGGTGGTTCTGATTCTTGGTCCGGTTCCTGTTCGGATCCAACGGCTTCTTCCTCCAAATCATCCGGGTCCCAGTCGTCTCCGATGTAGGTGCCGTTCGTGCGGAAGCAGCGGAGGTCCTCTTCTTTGTAGAAAAGCTCCCGATGGGGAACGTCGAACCATGCCTCTCTCTTTTTCACTGCGGTCGGAGTGGGAGACGCATCGTTCAGGAAATCTCCGAGAGTTTTCTGAGTGACCGCACAGGAAGAAGGAGCGAATGGAAAACGGGGAACGCGGAGGGTAGATGGAAAGACGTTGCCTCGTCGGTCATCTCAGCCGGGAGTGTTGTGCGCGGGTAGAGTATAAGCAATCAGGAGGGTGTGGTGGGGAGCGGGGGTAGGTGCTCAGGGAAAGAGCAAGGGGAATAGGCCGCTGAAGAGAAATCAACGGGTGCTGTGCGCGTGGGATAGGGGCTGGGAGGACGATCACCGGAGCAGATATATTTCCCGTCGGGAGGAGGTTCCGAGGCAAACTTCAGAATCCTCGTTGAGGTGTTCGCTTCTGCGAAAGGACTACAGCTTGTCACGTGATTGATTCCGGGTCTTTCAGCACGTCCAGAGTAGAGGGGGTGGGGGGGGGAGGGGCAAGACACCAATTTACACACGGTGCAATAAATAGATGCAATTGTTACGAGGGTTCGATTCTGACTCAGTCCCGCTCGGGTACATGGGTCGGAGGGTTTCTTGCGTCACATGTACCATCGGCACAACACGCATCTGCATCAACTCCACTCACGCCTTGGAAATTCTCTTCACGGAAGAAGTGCTCCCAAAATTCCTCCGAGGGTTTCTCGTCTTCCTTGCGATGCATGGGTGTCGTGGTCTCTCCTGAGCGGCCGGGCTTTCGCTCTGTTCGCTCTTCCTCTCGACCTTGCCTGCCTAGTGTGCCGACAGCTATCGCTTGGATAGACTTGAGCAAGCAGGGCGGAGACACGAAGAAGCGAAACATGGCAATGGTAACAAAACTGTCAGTCTGTGGCACTGCTGCGAGGGGGGTCTAGCAATAGCGCGTCATCTCAACGTTGCCACGCGCAAAGCGCACATTGCACCACCAGCACCAAAGGAACGTACGCTCTGACGGCGGCTGCTCGCGTCCCGTTACTGTATCCTTGCAAGCACAGTTTGCACCGCCAAAACCAACGGTATGCGGGTGAGCATGTGCCAATAATATGCCCTCGCCAGCCGCCATGAAGCCACTAAGTGCTAGGCGGCAACAGTCCTCGGTACAAACGCCTACGGCAGTCTTTAGCAACGCTGCACACGGACGAACATATTTGTAGACTGCTTTACAGCAGTTTTCGAAAGTATTATACGTGTAGGCGAACACGTCGACCGGGTAGGCGTTCAGAGAGGGGACCAGTCGATCACGACTAAACATGCGTAAGCTTGCAAAGTTGTAGAAGCGGGATGCCATGCACCTTTTCAGTGCCACACGGCGATCAGGCACGTGTCACGTAGTCGAGCCTGTAGGTTGCATACGAACCACACCCTGACCGCATTAGTAAAACTCGCCTACCTGCAGCAAAAACAGTGACGGTGTCGAGAATAGCGGCCGTATGTAGAATCGCATCGTCGAGAGCCTTCGGAGAAGGTGCGTTTGATTTGGTGGCTTCTTCTTTGTTGTGAAGCAATCAGGTCTTGAAAATCAGACCAGGGGGGTGTGGTATCTTAAGTCATGTCCACTACAACGTGGAGAACATGGACGGGCTGCTGCACCGGACAGGGTTTTGATGACACGCGACTACATGGAAGCTGCGATTTTGCATCGTACCCTACACTGTAGTTCGAGGGACTCCGAAGGGCCTTGCTGAGAGCTTTTGGTCTCTAGGTCTCTAGAAGAAGCCCAAGTTGCCAGTCTCCACGGTGGGGTGCTTCGTGAATCTAGGTGCAAGATGTGTGCGTGTTGCCCGCTGCTGCCAACAGCTCAAATTACAGGACAGTTGCTTTACAGCGATCATGCTCCGGCAACGTGGAGTGCACTCGTCGGGCATGCACTACCGCCAAGGCCGCCGGTACACATATGCGTGGAGGTCTACATGTAAAAAGCTGAGACTGAGACAGCAGTACACTGCGGGCCCTCTGCGCTCTGCCGCAATCAGGCGAGATCGCGCAATAGACTATAGCAGCGAAGAGAGAGCCCATACGAAAGCAGCATACGCACCGATGAGCAGCGAACACAGGTGGATACCGCGGTCCTCTCTTTGTCTCAAATACTTCCAAGTGTTGTTTGATGCCAGAGGTGTACCAAGACGGGGCCAAACTCACACATGATGTCACACAAACGGCAGTTGGCAATTAAAAATCAACACTTTGAGCTTCGAATCTCCTCGCATAAGTATGACCAAAAGAGCGGCAGCAGCGAACAGACGAGGACACTCACCGTTCTTGGAGATAAGACGGGAGGTGAGCTGAGAAGCTGTAGCGAGCAGCGACAGACGTAGCACACACAACACAGCGATGCTGCCGTGCCATCGCATAGGCGACGAGGGCAGCGAGGGGCGCCGCAAGATAATATATGGTGTTGAGTTGGGGGGGGATCATGGCGGTTACTCTTCTTAGTTACGCCGCTTCTTTTCTTCTCCCTCGGCTTCCGAATTTATTTGTCGTTCGTTGCTTGGCGGGTGACGGTTGGCTGTTGTCCATGTGTGCGTGTCGCGACGCGTGTGTCTCCCGCGAATCTATACTATACAGGTGTAAGGTTAGAGTGCCGACAGTGTGCCGACAGCTGCAGGAACAACAACACCACGTACGTGTGGCTCGCTGCGGCCGGCTGCAACATCTAGCTACAAAGCAGTCAGGCTACCACGACACATTGGTACGGCGTACAACAAGTGTACGAGAATAATCATGAGTCCTCAGGCGGCGCCTATGCCGAGTATTCAGGGTGAGGCCATGGAGCTCTTCACCCGTGTACCGCCGTTGCCGATCAACTCTAGTCGCGGCGGAGGGAGTCGCGGGAGCCCCGGCGGTAGTCACGCAGGTCCAGCGGCTACGGTTGCCTTCTCGACAAGGGTCTCAGGCAGGAGGCCTTCAACATCCGGTACCGACCGGGGCATCAGCGGCGGGCTGATGATCTCGCAGTCCGGGGGAGGGGTAGCCGGCCCCCCCCCCGACATTACAAATGACAACGCGAACGTGGTGGAAAGGCCACGGATAGTAAGGCCCGGGTCTCGGGGAGAAGACGGCGATGATCGTCGCAATGGTGGCGCACAGGAACAGGGGTGCGCTTCTGCGGTGAGCTTCGTTCGGTGTCTCGCCGTGTCGTGATGTGTCATGACAAGCAACATTACTTGCAAATTGTCGAAAGAAGACTCGTACTGTATAGGCGCTAAGTTGGGAGTCGGCACCAGAGCCCTTTGTATCTCGTTCCACAGACTACCGGATTCAACTATAACTAACTGCTGGTTGTCGACCTTCTGCAGTAGACTGGACGATCTTTGGCGGTTGTGGATGGTCAGTGGTCGCGTCCATTTCTCCGGGGCGAGCGAGATTCAAGCCAAGTTGTATGCACCCCTCGTTTCCAACAGAGCACGCTGCAAAATGTTCACATGCTATGGGCATAATTTTAATGGCCACAAGGCCGCTTGCTACAATACTCCGTCCAGGGAAAGAGTGTTTGGATACATCGACGGGCGACCATAAAGACTACCATGTTTCAGGCCAAATCAACGGGTCTTGTTTCTTGCAGACTGCCAACAGTTCTTCAGCGGGTACTTGTAAATGTAGAACGTACCGAAAATACTTGGGTTTGTGCCCCACGGGAGAGAGCAATACAACATTGAGATAGGGAGCCAGTCTGCTCCGCCAGCTGCGCTCCAATGCGTACACCTATTTGCGCGTGTTCTCCTCGCCCCGCGGGGCATTTCTTTGGAGAAGCACAGATAGAAAACACCTTGGGGGATTTACCACGTTCCCGGAGCGAATTCCAAAAGATCCATATCACGATGATGTCACTGCTACGGCTTTAAAAAAAAAAGCACATATCGAGCGGTGAACGACCACGGCAGTCGAGAGTTGTATCACTTGTTCTCTCTGTCTTGTCTTGTCGCCTCACCAGCGCTGGTTGTCGAAATGCTGCTCCGCCACGCGCTCCAACAGGAAAATCAAGACACCAACGAAACAAAGTCCAAGCTGCTCGGGGGGTATCTTAGAGACCACCTTCTCGCCAACATCACCTGCAACGAACCGGCCAAGGAGCTTGTCAAGCGCTCATTCAGGTAGTGCTATGATTTGTGGCTGGCTGCTCTGTTGTGGTCATTGTTGCTGCTGCAACGGGTGATGGCGGTGTTGGGAACGTCGGCTGTTTCCTTTCGTGTTGTTTTCAAGAAAGTATTTGCTTGGCTGCAATGGCGTACGACTTCTTAGCAACTGTGAACCAGAAGATACATTATTGGAGAGGTTCTTCATGTCGACAGTCGCCTTCAAAATGCAGAGAAAATCTTTGGAGCAACTCAATGAGCCGCCAGGCCTCCGGTCTCCAAGCAAACGAGTGGATATCAGCCATGCCAACGGTATTAACAGGCTTTTTTCCTGTCTATCGTAAGAAGCCTCCAGCTACAAGTGGTCACGAGATTACCCACATGCTAGAAGGAACCAGAGGGACTAAGGCATGCGAGAAAGGACCGGGTTCGAGTGTCTGTCGGCCAGGGTTTCCGAAAGTTTCGCAATTTTCGAGTGCGCCCCAACTGTTTGTCAGTCCTCGACGTAACGCTCAAGCAGAATGTACGGATGCAAATTTGTAGCAGCAGAGTAGGCGTCTGTTGGCAAGCTCAAGGAAGCTTCTTCGCTCCCAAGGTCGTCTGTCTGTTCGACACACACTCGAGCCCACCTGTTTCACCATGGTCTTGTTTGGAATCACTGTTGCAACCGTCGAACTCGAAGACTTTCCTTCCGGCCCCGATGGGACAACTGTGATAACCATGTCCACTGGTTGTGCTGCGCTGGACCTTCTTCTCGTAACTTTGTCGTCATGCCTTGTCGCACCCAGCGATGCTTGGGTTCATTGTTGGGAGGCTCTAAAGAAGCGAGCTGCGTGTACCGATTGTTTCCTTTCCGGAGCTTCTAGGGGGAAAGTCCAACATCGAGGTTGCCGGAATCACGGCCGGACTCGTTTCCTGCAACTCGAAAGGACAGGTCTTGCGTTGTTCGAACTAAGATTATCCTCCGGTACCAACTACAACTACACCGATCTACACCTCTTCATTTCGTTGTAATCTTACTACTGTCAGGCACCTCCACCGCGGTCAAGGTCACGTGCTCACCTTCGATGAATTCAAAGAGGGGCTTTCCAACACCTTCGGAGCGCTCATCCCGCTGCAGGTGAGTGGCTGATATTAATAGTGGAAAGTCGAACGACGGAACACGGATGTCACTACAGCAGTGAGCCATCGTACTCCCCATGATTGGCTTGTGGACAACAATAACAACAACAACAACACCAGCAGCAGCAGCAGCAGCAGCAGCAGCAGCAGCAGCATAGCAACAACAACCAATGCCGGCACAAATATCGCAGACCTGCAATTACGACAACAAGGTCGGTACCGGCATCGACACCAACAAGTGCACCGATCGACCAATACTCTTGCCAACTGTTTCACAACTGTACCAACAGCTAATCCAGGCGACGTTCGACATCTTCGACACGGAGCCGCGGACGTGGCAGCTAGACTTCGACGAGTTCTGCCACTGGCTCGACACCGGGGAGCGGGTCCTCAACAGCCACGGGGTCATGAAAAAGCCGGTCAAGACGAACTCCGCTCCTCCTGCAGAGGGAGCGCCGCCGAAAGGTTAAAACCAATCTAACGGGCTGTTGGTAATTATGTACTAGTAGAACCGCACGATATCCTTGCCACAACTCATCAACCGTAGCAATCCTCTCGACCACCCCCGAACCTACGGCAGCGCGCAAGCCACGTTCGAACGACACTTCAGGCGAGTTTAACTCCAGCATCAAAGACTGCAACGGCGTGAGCATGAGCATGGAACAGGCCGACCGCGCGCAGCTCAAGGTGTGGTATGAGAAGGAAATGCATCATCGTCCGAGCATGTTGCTTGTTGTGTTTGCTCTACCCCACCGTCCAGGCCGATCGTCGTTGTACCGTACACGTGGTACGTACAAAGTCAATGTCAATGAAGCACAATCAACCGAGGGTCGAGGAGGCCAACCTACTCCCGGGTTAGATTAGGGTTTTGTGTGAGGTGCACATGTCCTCGAGGTCATGCGCTGTGTGAGTGTAGACTACCCTGGAGTACATAGGTATATTTGTATGGCCGAGCGCATACGTAACTGCGATCAACAAGCTGCGTTTCACACACCATATCGTTCTGGTTGTTTGGGTCACTATCTTTCTGGTGTCTCGTAGCTTCGGCCCTCTGCTTTGGGGTCTCTCTCTCGGGGAGAGCGGGGGGCATCCAAACCCGTACATTCGAAACGAAAAAATTCATTTTGTTCCTCCGCACCATTATTTTGTCCAATGCGGAGGTGTGCATTTGCCTGTCGATCGTGCAGTAGCGATAATGGCTGTGGCACTAGAACGACGACTGGTGTCTGCAAATTGCTACTTCCGCGTGCAGACATCTGCTGCGATATCTAGGTACCGACTCCTGCGGAACCGTTTACCGTCACCATGACCCGACGCGGCTTACGTCTGCTGCCTCAAACGCAGACGTATTCCCAGGCGTAGGTTTCTGCCCGGAATCTAGGTCTTCGAACATGTGGGACTGTGTTTGGGTGAAAGTTAACATCTTCGTGCGTCGGGGATTGCACCCGTTCGGGTACTATGAACTATCCGTGGCCGTGGGGGCAAGACCTGGCCTGGGTTGTTGACTGTGTTGGGTACACCTGGCATAAGGATATGATCAACCAAGGCGCATGCGATCGGTGTGGTTTTGAAAGCTCCGCTTCTTTTGTTGTGCACTCGAACGATTCTCGCCTCTTCCCCCGTGCGGAAGAAATGCAGCAGGTTCCGTAGAAGCTCGATGTACCTGGTAGGGCAACAAACACACTGAATTTTTGTCGATACGTCCATGCAAAGCCGTCGCCAGCACATCGTTTTGGGCAAAATAACTAGCGTAACATCCGTTCTGGACGCCTCTTCGTTACGGTGAACGCGCTTCGGAAGTCAGTCATCCCCCCGTGGTGCACGTGCCCGGAGTATTTTCTGGACGTGTCGTTCTTCGCGGCATTTGATGACAAGTACCGCGACACTCCGCTCGGGTGTCTTTCGAGTTGTTGGTCCTCGGAACTCCACGCCCTCCGCTGTTTTCGTTCTGCCTTTCTCCCAGGCACATCTTATGAAACACAGGAAAAAGATTCACAAGCCTGGAGGGCTCACGGAGGCGCAGAAGTCCATCGTTGACCACATTCTCATGGACAAGATCAAGGCCAGAAAAAAGGTACCCCGAGTACGACGCCACGCAGACAAGGTCCATGCTCTCTCTTTGAACTACTGTAGGATGGTGTTCAACTCACATCGTTCCTTGGTAGCGAACCGTGGCCGATTCCCTTTTAGCCATTGGAAGGCCGCGTGCTTGTTGGTATTGACTTGTTATGTTTGCGACCATGACTGAGCGATCGCCATCGTTTTACGAGGGTGCTTTTCGATTTCTGTCCATTCCGGAGTTTCGCATGTTTCTTTTTTCTGGAGGGGGCTTGCACGAAAACAAGTGGCACTCCTTTGCTAGGTCACCTACATGTAGATGGTAAACCACATGCGAAATCTCTTCATCGATAATCAGTTAGATTGTTTTTTCTCAAAACGTTTCAATCCCACACATCTGGTCACACGCCAACGCTCAAGCACAAGAGCAGCCCCACGCCGAAACCGCCGAATGTATCGCCGCTATATGAACTACTATTTTCACGAGCGTTCTGTGTCCGCCGAGTGCAACGTGGTGCATGCTTCAGAACTCGTGCGGGTTCGAGTTGATCCGTGAATACGACCTTGTGCCCGATAGTGGGATGCCATTAAATCAAGCCATTGGCTTAGGGTGTACATGTGCTGAAAGCCACAGATGTCGAGCATTCAGATCGGAACACCGCTTTCACTGAGCCAATGGACAACCCAGAACACTTGACCAAGGTTACAAGAACTACAGCAGTAGTTGAAGATTCTCCGATTGAGCGATATCGGACGCCACCTTCCGATGGAACATACTCTCGCTCACGAAACGAAAACCTCTCAGCATGAATAACTCGATTGAGGAGTACATTTGATGTCTCTTACTGCAGAGCAGGCCTTGCCCACGAACCTGTGCTACCCAAGCTCTTCTACATATTTTTGTTCTTCTTGCCCTGTATGGCTTTTCTTCTAACCCATACTGACGCGCCATAGTGAAGACCCTATTTCGGCTCCACCTTACACATATCCTTCGACTGAAGTGCAACTTCGCGAACCCTTCTATGGTCATTGCGCCCCTGTCGCCTTCGCGTTCTCCTGGTCAGACAGATTCATGCCGGAATTCGAGACCTGTGTTGTTGTTTAACGCCCCCCCCCCTTTCCTTTCCCACAACGTCACGCTTATATGGCATCGCATCGTGGTGGCGCTGCTGTTCTACCTCTTGAACGAACAGCTGAATGCGTCTTCACCGGGCTCGTTCGATGCGCTTGACCAATTCAAGGCCTTTGCAAGGTAGTGAGCATCCTGTTGCGTGAAGCTTAGAATCAAAGCCGTTAGCTTGTTCGAACGCGCGTGCTTACTGCAAGCACCGTTTACTCTACCCTCATCCTATCGTGGATTTCGCATGGCACTGCTACACGGAGCAATCTAGCATAACCATGTCCCTTTCGCAGGAGTGGTGGTGATCGCTGCCATTGCACGTCCGTGTCCGCCTACAGCTATCGCTTGCACGACCTTGGTCGCACTCCCATGCCTTAATCTTTCCTTCACTGTGTCTCGCAATGCTGGCGTTTTGCGGGGTACCTCTGCGGGGGTGGTGGTGGTCTGTTCGCTCTTGCAGGGGTAACGACAGTATGGTGTGGCCAGCGTTCAAAAAGGAGGTGCGAAGTTGTTGACGAAATGGTACTGAGTAAGACCATTCAGACAAGCTTAACATGTCCGGGTACATATTCGGGCATTTTCGCGATACATTTGAACCGTTGATTGTTGCCTGCGGATGTCCTTCCCCCGGGTTTGCTACGTTCAACCCGAACACACCGTACGTAGGGTGGTATGTAGCCTGCTGTACAAAATATCACACTTTTTTCTGAGTTACATGGCGTATAGTTGGCGGTGTGGCACATGTAGTCCCTAGTGTGCGGAACATGTTCTTTTGTTCCCAACAACTTGTTAGCAGCTTCTTCCTCCCACGCGGCTACATGTGCCAACTGTAAATTGTGTTCCGAATTGCGTTGCCCCGCCAGAGCCCAAAAGGCAGATGCGACAGACAAACCTCGCTGCAGTATGTGGATCAGGCCCTCACGTCAAAACAATTTGAGGAGATCAGTAGTTCTAGAGACCAGATGGCTAAACTTGGAATTCCCTTATTGAGGGTCGTCAACTGGTTGGGCTATTCCTCGTCTGCTTTCAAACGCATTGACTGCCTGTCTAGATACTGCTTTTCATGTGGAACGTTTTCCTTCAGCAAGATTTGGGAGTCTGGGACCACAACAATAACAGCGTGTGAACCTTGACGATTCCATGAAAAGCATCCCAGTTTCATTCCAGTTGTAAACAAAACAACATAATTTTTGTCTATTCGATTATCACTTCTATGCACGTTTGTAAGACCACCAGATCCAGATAGAGAAGATGTTCTCACCCTGACAAGAGACAATCAAGTACGCGGGGATAGACTCCCCAACACACGCACGAACTTCTACCAACACGTTTTCGTGTTCAACACCCCCCAAAGGTGACCGGCATGCTCCCGCACCTCCACGAGGAGTCCGAGATCAGGGATGCGTTCTCCCGCATGGACCATAACGGAGACGGGGTAGTGGACCTGACGGACTTCTTGATGTGGGAGGAGCGCATGCAGGAGGGGAGGGGGAACACGGACTTTTTCGCCCTACAAGAGGTAGGGTGGTAGTACCTTGTCCAAGATTTCCATCTATTGATCGGTTGCTTCCTCTGGCAGTCAACCAAGTGCCTCCTCTGTCCACAAGCCCAACATGCCGAGAGGCATCGTGTGATTTTGATTCGCTTCTGCAAGGTTGCGTGTCGTGCATTTTTCACCAAGTCCCCCACATGCACGCTACCTCTTCGCCTCCCCATTGCAAGTGTACTGGTACTGAGGTTGGTGCTCTCGTTCCCCCACCTCCTTTAAAGGCAGACTCTCTGCGGATTTCCAAGCTACTGCCTCGCAAGCAGGATTCAGAATAGTGATGAACGTTCAACAGACCACCACACAAGGCCAAAGTTCTCGGAATGTCACGAAATTCATGACCACGAAGCGACTCGTAAACGATCGCCGTGCAATAATTAATGTTCACCACACAGGAGGACCACTTGGAGCAGATAAAGCTTGCCAGAAGCAAAGCGTCCAATCTCCTAGTGCCCGACGACTACGACGGCTCCACCTACCACGCGAAGCTCTCCAGAGAAATTGCCCAGGTTAGTACTGCCGCGAAAAGGAGGGCGCAAAGCGTAGTAGGTAGCACGCTATTGTCCGAGAATCCAAGCTACTGTCGAGCTTACAGGCTTCGAGGTGATGCAATCACCAATTTTCTTTGACGCCGTTCGCAACGCGGGCAAATGGAACAGCGCGATCGATCCCTGCGGGTTGAGGCACAGTCTAGGAGAGTCGATGGCCCATTAGCAAGTGTGAGTCGCACGCACCCGGTTTGAGTACGGCCGTGCCCTGTCCTGTTTCCTGGGGTATATAATGAGGCCTATGCTTGGTTTTATCATTGATTAATGCGATTGGATTTCTCCATATTGGCTCGCGTATCTTTGGAATGCAGAAAAAGCGTGCCGCAAAGGACGCCGAAAGGCTGACGTCCGGTCGGCATGCTGACAACGCCAAGGTTGGGGACTCGAGGGATGAACTAGCTCAAGTTCTCCGGGACAAAATCCTCTCACAGGTGCATCCCCGGGCGGGACGGGCTGCAATCTCTCGGTTGGTTGGCCCAAGTCTCTCTCTGTACACGAATATACCATGTATTCTTCCTAAGTCACAGTTTGCAATGTAAGTGTTCAGGTAAGGGATGTTACTAATTATCTACCATGGAATCAATAGTGTCGCATGGTGAAAGTCGATGGAAAATGGTGTGATGTAAAGTTGTGCTTTGGACTGTTGGATGGAACTCATTTTCTCTGGGACTAGTGATTCTTGTAGAGGGTAGGAATTCAGGGAGGGAGGAGACACAGAAAGACGGTCATGGGTTTTGTTCACCCTTGTCATTTGTGCGGTGTTCATGGCGACAAAAAAGAACAGGTGAAAGGGGGCTCGCTGGAGATGTTACGAGCTTTCCGGCATTTCCGTCCCGCCGCGGCTGGTAGGCGGCTCTTTATGGACTACACGGAATTCCGCGAAAGCATCAAGCAAAAGGTACGGAGATCCTGTAAATAGTCTGTTTGCGCGTTTGCGCCTGTAAGTCTGGACCTTTCTTCAAAGACGGCTTGTAGCATTCTATAATGAAGCCACTTTTCAACATGCACTATCACGAATGCGATTGATACTCTGCCGATAGGGTCTCGGCCTGGGTGAGGAGGACATCAAAACTCTCTTCGGATATTTCGACGTGGACGGGTCAGGCGAGATCGACTTCTCGGAATTCCGCCGCTTCCTGCAAGGCGGCATCCAGAAAACCGGTCTCGACGTAAGTTTTCGTGTTCGTTTCATCGCAGATTGGAAACCACATGTATTTGTTTCCTCGCACCATAGAAACAATGTATCGATAGAAAATGCCGTTCCCGCGTTGTTGCCATTGCGATTCCACTGCTACCGTCACCAAAGGATAACGATAGCATCATCAAAGGATTACGATAGCAATCCGAGTCTTGCGGTGGCAAGGGAACAGAGTAGTGAAGAGTGCAGAGTGCTACGTTTCGGCGGCATGATGCCGCTGGAATGTGCGGCTGCTTTCGTGCGGAACTTGAGCATGATATATTGTTACATGTCGGTGTAGTTAGAGGTGTATGTTATCAAGTATGAGTGCCCAAACACGGTTAAATGCCGTGGGTATTCGTTCACAGTATACGTACACCCACACTGAATACACCAAATGTCTACATATGGTATACCATAACGATACCAGATGGGCGTGAACCGCCACGAAGAAAAGACTGTGGCAGCTAGGAGCAGAGTGGCCGCGCTCGAGAAAGCTACCGCGTTGAACCCCTCTCTGGTGAGTGGACGTCTCGCCGATAACAAATATGGTATGGTTTTGTTGATAACGATGATGCTGTTCTCTCGTTGACATATGTTGATATGGCTGTCATCAACATCCACCCCAGTCCCCTTGCGCACCTTAGGGGATGAACCCTTGCTCTCTTTTTTCATGAATGGGGGAGTGCAGTGTCTTACCAAACATGTTGCTCGATACTTCCTGATCTCATGCAGCATATGTAGAACTGATGTGTATCAACGGTGTCATGGCATCCTTTGAACGGGATTTGGAACGCCTCATATCTCCGCCCTGTGTTATTTGGAAAAGGGGGAGGAGAAAAGCTACGGCTTAGCGTTTTACGTGGCCTGCATCGCCCGCGGTCTGTGTGATAACCCTCGACCACCATGTGGCTCGGATTGGGGGTTCGGTTCTCCTCGAGGAGATATTGTTAGAGTAGCATTCGAATATGTTGTTGAAAACGCTTGTTTTGTTGGTGCACTTGAACGTTGAGGGAAATGGTGGCGGATCCTTTCTCGCGATATGAACCTTCGGCAAGCGCCGCGGAGGAATTTGTCTGTGTACCCCTAGGTCGGAGCTCTGCAGCTTGGTAGAGGCAAGACCGTAGGATAGTCGGGCGCCGGAGGGAGAGCAAAAATGTTGAAAACGAGAGGGAAAGCAGACAACAGAGTCTTCGTCCACGCAACGAGTATGGTGCCCGTAGGGGCTTCGTGTTAAGAACATGCTGGGCTCTTCATTCTGATTCTTACCGCTCATTGGTTGTGCGCTGTGCTTCATGTGAACTAAACGGTGTTGCGTACTTCATATCAGGCTGGGGATGCGAGGTCGGACCAGCTACTTAAGGCGAAGGTACTCCTGCGAATCACAGGAGGCCAGACCGAAGTGCTACGGGCCCTGAGGTATGCTTCGGCGTTGGTATCCTCCTTCCGGGAAGTACTGTTGTAGTTCAGTTACGTCCCGGGGCTAGCCTGGAGTGTATTTGTTTTTTGCTCCGGTACAACGGAAGCATGTTCGATTCCCCAAAGTCTTCCACGCCCCCGATTGCAGCACGGCAGTCTACAGGGGAACCTTGGAAGCATCTGATACACTATGGTCGTTGAGATCGGTAGCAAAGTGTTGTAGACGGACGTGACGCAGGTGCAAGTCTCACAGGCACATAGCGAGAGGCCTATCAAGAATGAGGATCTTGTAGACGACGCACTCTAGGAAGCTAGCTGGAACGTTCGGCCGTATGCTTGGTTCTAACACAGGTTGGGGTTCATGAGGCCCCTTGTTGTGACCCATGAGACCCTGCTACTGCTTTGTTCTCTGGGTTTGTCCGCTGTTGGCACTAGTCTGCGCCCATTTGTCTCACTTTGCGGTGTCGTTGTACTTCACCCATATTTCGTCCCGAAATTGCGGGTCTTGGGTCTGGGATGCTCTGTGTCGGCTTTTCTTGTCCAAACTTGATGTGGGGTCAAACATATTGCTGTGACACCGATCTTGTAGCTCACTGGTAGGTCTTTGCCTTCGAAGTATCAAGGACGTGGGAAATAACAGAGCGTCGTCCCAAGTGAAGATACCCCCACCATCGTATCCACCAGGAGCAGGAACATTGAAGGAAACGGCTCACCAGAACATCTTAGATGCCCCCCTGGTGTTTCGGCCGTGTTGTTTGCTGCCTAGCCAGTTTCCTTTCGCACATCGCACGCAAGTATTGCAATGGCCGAGGCCACTGACTCGGACCGGTCGTCATGTCCGTAAAGCCGCTGTGGTCTTGGATTGGATCGTTGGTTTATTGCTGGCCAGGTGCCAAATTGTCTAGCCTCAACGTCGACGCGACGCCGTTCCGCATAATCCGACACCAAGGGGGTTGCGGCGCCGGTAATGACGAGCCTGCGACGCTGCCCATTGTCTCGAGGCAGGACGAGCAAACCTTGTGCGTGCGAGCCACCGTGGCGTTCTATTGATGCCTTCTACGCGAATGTTTCGCTGAAAGCTCATGCCAACCATGAACCCTTCAAAAGACGTGTTCTATAACAACAAGGCTATGTCATGTACGCCTCAGGGGTTTCGGAACCGATGGGGGGAAGTCGAGCTCGGAGATGGACTACCCCGCTTTTTCCAACGCGATAAACAAGTCCGGTTTCAACCTGTCCGAGCCAGAGACCAAGCAGATCTTCAACGAGTTTCGCTTAGCGGGCCCGAGCGGTGTGTGTGTTGGGTATATCCCGCCATTTTGCATACTATGCACAAGTTTGGGTGCATGTATTGCCGGACATATGATGTGTACTTGAGCGAGTTCTCTGGCCAGGCGTACGCACGCAATGGCCCATTGGTTGCGGTTAGGGATGGGTAGATCCTACCGCTAACCCTATTCCTTAAATCGTCAACTTTCCATGGCATGAACTGTCATCGTCCAGCCTCGGAACGGTGCTCGCCTAACAGCACTTCGTACATCGTACACATAGAACAAGCAAGAATGTACACTGGCGGTCTTAGCGTGCTGCTGTTCTGCTTTCGCCAACCTGCCAGCAGTATCTCCCCTGCAGACCGTCTTTTTCGGGACAGTTCGAAACACCGACAGCACACCCTGTGGACCTTGGTTTGTAAACATTGTATGCATAACAAAGTTCAAGGTTGTTGTTGATTGTTCGTGATAGACTGGCTTGCGTATCTCTAAGCGGCAGTAGTAGTAGCTGTTGTGTCCAGTTCAACTCCCTCCGCCGCACGGACTGGTTTGGACCCGAACATCCAAAACGCGCCTGAATAGAGCTCCACTTTGCTCATGGACCATGACGCTGCCGGGAGTGTCTCGATCGTTGAAATGAGCGCACACCCGCGGGTGCGCACTAATAATGTTAAGCGAACGTGCCTGATTCAAGCCCGCAACGTTCTGCTTTTGCTGTGGGCCACCGGTATAGTGAACGTTCGCATCGTCTACACCTTCGAACCTACTTGTCACCCACCCACGGTTCTTCTTGCTCATAGGGGAAGAGAAAAACGGCGTTCCAACGGGCACAATGAGCGCGCAAGCCTTCCGCGAGTGGCTTCTCGAGAGCCACACCTCCACCGGTCTCGACGTTGGCGAGGTACATGTAGATCAATCACGCGGGGTGCCACCGCAGAACAGTTAATGTTGCTGCTTGGAACAAGAGTAGAGATCATGTTTGGAAGGGAACTGGTCTCCCCGACGTCTCTCAAGGGGGATTTCTTCTTTCTACGTTGACTTTGACGCGAACAACTACTGTAAATAGTTTCTTCTGGTTGCAGAGTACCGGCTTGTGAATGTCTCAACCGACCGAGATATGGCCAGGGATAACACAAAACAGATTTCTGAACCTTGGGAACAAAACGTTGATGTAGCGGACAAAGAGCACCAAATAGAACATCTTCACGAGATCATCATCAGCCCTCGACGCCATCCGGTCGGGTTTGGGTTACCCACAGAAGCCTTCCTGCCTAGAAGATGTGAAAATGACTCTTACACAGTGAAGGGTGGCGTGGAGGTACTCTTGAATAAGCATCACGTCTCCCCTACGTCTGTCGAGGACGATCGTTCTTTCTGTCGCAACGCCCGCTGCATATCTCTGGGAGAAGCCCGTCCGTCCGAACACTAGCCCGACGGAAGCGTTTCCTGCACTTCCAGATGGGCGTTGTTTCCTTACGTTTGGCCTATGATACGTTTAACCTATCGTTGACGCTCCCCTTCGGCGAGTGTTTTTTTTTTTTTTTAATAGTGCAGTGGTACCGTTTTCGTGTCTCATGCATTTCACAAGTGATGTACATGCCACCAATTCATATATGCCTTTCGTTCCTCTACGAGAAACAGGTTTTGCATGTTTGATTTTTCCGACTTCCAGATGAACAACAAAGCCCCGGTGGGCGATGCCGCGCTGTCGGAAGAACAAGCAGCGGAACAGTCCAGCCTGCTAAGCATGCACAAAGCGGTACGCACCTGCGGATAATGCATGGTGTTGCTCGAGTGAAAATGAAAGATCGCCCGGATTTTGTTGCTGTGTTGGATGGCAAGATCTAAAACCCGTTCGTGATCACTGCAAGCAATGAGCTGTCAACTGCCTAATGTGATGTTCGATCTCCCCGTGGATGGAATGTTCTTCTACACGTGTGTAGGTTTGTCACCAGGTTGACGCTGTTTTCGTCTTCCCTGTCTAACTTGTGATGTCTGCGCTAACGCTATTTGCCTCGACATCAGCTGAGGGCTACGGTAGTCAGCTCGTTCGAATCGGACCGCCGCCACCTCCTACGCGCCTTCAGGAATGTCACCAGGTACGGCTGTACGCACTTCGTACCCGAAGCTGGACATTCGCATTTTGCTCGAAGACATGCCGATGCGTTGTTGACCGGGGTTTGGTAGACGTGGTTTGGAAGGTTTGAATAAAACTCGGCACCCCCTGGGCGCCCGGCGGCCACATCCTCGCCGACGAGTTCTGGCGAATATTTATAATAATGCCGCATCCCGCGTGCTTCCGACTTGCTCCCGATAATCGTCCCCCTTTCTCTGACCCAAACGAAGACACCTCGCCTACAAGTACGTCTACCCTACAACCAGCTCCGGTGCAGCTCGCCCAACGTTCTGCTCGCCCACCACCTGACGGCGACCCGTGATTGGTGGAACACGTGCCTAGTCTGGCAGCACGAAGACTTTCCGTTTCTCGCTTGTTTATGAAGACGCGTTGCCACGGCTAATAGCGAGCATATTCCCCCTTCTCGTATCACCTCATCTCGACGTTGAATGCCAGGAAAAAAGGTTCGACCATCACTGCAGCCGACTTCCGAGACGCACTGTCATCGTTTGGCCTGTTCGACGACAAGCCAGGAATAGACCGGCTTTTCAAGCTGTACGATTGGCGCAACAACGGCAGCGTTAGCTTCCAGGTGCTCCTTGCTGTCTTGAAATTGGTGCTCTGGTGCGGTGTCGTCTAGAGTCTGCATCTCCTATTGTGTACACTACAGTCGCCAGTCTTTACGACATTGCCCAGCCTCTCTCAACAAACGAGCTTCGTTCCAGTGAGACGCGGAATATTCCCAGCGTGGTTCAATTCTTCATTCCTACAGCGAGACTTCTCTCCCTCAAAGTGAGCTCAGGGTGTGGTTTATTAGCGCGAGGTTTACGAATTGCAAAACAAAACACACCTGCACACAAGCGACCGTCAGAAGCTTTTGGTTGACACCAGCTGGATCACCCAGGCAACCGGAGACAATCTTGAAACATTGCAGTTGTATCGTGGTTTCAGTATTCGCTCTTCTAGGGGCACCGAGCTGGTGCTAAGGGTGTGAGATTTTCGTGCACATGACCCGCTTCAGATCACGATTTTCTCATCGCACCCATTCGAAGGACACCAGGGTGGTCCACTGCTGTACACCACTTGGTGCACTCTCGAAACTCCAAACCGGGGCTGCATCGATGGGAAGATTCCTTCAGTGAGATATGTGTTCCAGGTTGTCGGGGGAACTACAGTAATACGGGTCGAACGTTCAATCGTTCACGAGATGAACGCCGCAAGAACGTTAGCGACTGGGGCAGACAAAGAGCAGTTGGTAACTATGCCGAACGCCAGGCTCTGGGAATGCGCAACATCGACGAAGCACCTCGAATGCTACTGTTGGCGCGAGCACACTCCAATACGAGAACATTGAATCCGTACATTTAGCTTGGAGACGGTCGTGTTTAGACCCATATCCTGGTACTACTGTTTGGAGAGAAAGTGTGATGGAGATCATGATCGATGTCGAGCAGCAGCTGGCCTCGTTGTCGGAGGTGGAACAAAGCTGTCGGTCAACCGCTGATACAATCTTGGCAGTATCTATGTCGATGAAACTGACGGGCCATGTCCCCTTTGACGTGCGCCTCTTCTCTCTCGGCGTTCAGGAACTGATGGAGATCATCACGGGCAGCGACTCCCCTCCCCGCCGTCTCACCACGTCCCAGCGCATCCGCCGGCTAGAGGACGAGCGGAGGCTCCCTGAAGAAGCCATCAAGAAAGTCGAGAACACCATCAGGAATGGACTCTGGGACAAACACCTCGACAACGTGAGAAGGCACCGCGTTGACCGTTCGACGGTATGAGTGCCTGTTAGCGTTCATGAAATCCCTTGAGAGGATCGGTCCTTAATCTTCGTGTTTCCCATTCAACGACGTTGCGTGCAGGCGAAGGCGTGCTTTCGCGCGCTTACCGGTGGACAAGGAGGAAAGATGGGGCTCGAGGGCCTAAGGGTAGCGGTCCGCATTGCCCGCGTTCGGGGAGAAGCGGCGTCAAGCCAGGTTCTCAAGCAAGTGCTGCAAAGGCACGGGTCAGAAAGCCCCACCTCCAGCGCAGGGAGAGAGGCAAGCGATGATGTATTGGTTCTCTAGTTGGTAGCTAAGCTTAACTGGTTCTCTTCCGTGCTTTGAATGACTCGCCAAACATGAGGTGGTATAGTTCCTGCTCCCAGTCTCCAATGAGGTATAGTTTCAACGTGCACAACGCAACGTGAGCTGCATCGTCCTGAGTCGACGTTGGGTCTGGGGTACTTCGTACCGCTTCAAAAGCTCAATCCATGTAGTTTTTCCCTTGATTCTGAGTGATATGGAAACAATGGAGTGCTGGTAGCTTGAAGCTGCTTGAGGCCAAGCTGGACTCGTATGTATCCATCCGTTCTTGGTGCAGAGCGTGCTATACATATTCAAGTCCTGCCGATAGAAATGCTTCACCCAGTCGACTCTGCCTAGCCTTTTTTCTGGCTGTTCAGATAGATGAGTGTAGATACCTTGATTGGGATTATTGTTTTCAGGTTCTTGGGTGGAGCCTTCAAGAGTTCATACAGTTCTACCGGCCCGCCGACTGCCGGGCGGCCATGGCACTCGCTCGAGTGCGCGATGGGGGGGGGCAGACCGAGGAAGACCTCAAGCGTGCTGCTTTGATTGCCGAGGGGAACAGGGTGAGCCTCGTCACATAGTTATTATTTGGTGGTTGTTCAACGTGTTACATGATGTTCACCCAGCGTCGTTGGGGCGCGTGGATCGCTTCTGTTCGTCGATGTTTGTGGCTTTCGTAATAGGAGCGTTTATGAGTCGGACTGAGCTTCCACGTCTGGGCGATGGAAGCTACTTAGTTCTTGGACTTCCGCACTATCCTGCTCTTCCCTTTCTTCGTCGTTCTGGATGATGCTGGTTCCAAGAATGGTGGGACACTGACGGGGTATTTGAGTCATCGTTATTGCGCCGTTTTGAAGGGGAGCGTTTGTGATCGCGGGGCTACTGGATGCACATCGTAGTTCGCCTGGTGTCCATAGAAGCCAAATCAAAACACTAGACTAGTCAGCGCTGACCTGCCTAATGGTTTGATTTCGGCTTCTGTATGTCGTTCCTCGATTCGAGAAGAAAGGCTGATGGAGCTGACTGGTCTTCTGTGCGTTCAGAACGAAACCTCCACGCCTGTCCGAACCGTATCCAGGCTGTTTCGATGGCGTTTGAGGGGGTCGAGTTACATGGTCACGTATTATCCTCTGCTGACCGTGTTCGTGTCCCATGCTTGCAACTGGGAAAAACACCCCACGTGTCGTTCGGTACGTCTGGTGGATGTTCAGGCCCGAACCAAGCTGGTCCAGCAGGTCCGCCGCTTATCCAAGGCCCTGAAAGCTGCGGACAAGGGGACGCCTGTCAGAAGCGGTAGAGTGTCCCGCAAAACGTTCGCAAAGGCTCTCGCGAAAGAGGGTGGGCTTGGCAGGGTGGGAGAGGCAGAGCTCACCAGGTGTACAGAGTGTGTGTTTTGAATTCAAAAACTATGGTATTTGCGTCGGGAGCCAAAGAACTCTGGCCTGCTCCAGCATACGGTGGGGAAATGTTGATTCATGTTGTTGTTTCTGTTGACCAGTTTTTGTATCTTCCGCATGATATACGCATGATGTGCTGTAGTGCGGTGAGCAAGGGAAGGCTCTCAGGCAACACACAATCATCCCCTGGTTATAGCAATACGGTTACAGATAGCAGGGCGCGTGTAGGCGCAACGATGTTCTCGCGGCGCTTGTAACTATCGAGGATGGTGCAATACGAAGAGTCTGGGTGCGGTACGGAGACTGGAGCGGAACGCACCACCCGAAAGCGTTCCTCTAAGAAGCGAGCTGTTCTGTGCTTCCCCGAAAAATCCCACCCTGCCTATGAACATTTCACGCCGGACCTCATCTCAAAAGGCGCCGGCTTGCACTAAAGTATGCCTTCGCGATGCTCTCTTCAACATAACCGGAACAAGAAGTATATATTTCTTCCCCAACTCCGTGCTGCTCATATTTTCGGTTCTTTTTCAGGCTTCTGGTCCGGCACGGTTGCTCTGAGCAAGGTGGTACATACGTAAACTACCCGGTCTTCGTGGCCAGTTTCACCGCTGCCGTAATGAGTGCGGACCCTTCATCCGCTGTAGCGGCGGTAGCCGCCGCCAATGCGGCCGCTGCCGCCGCCGCCGCTGCATCCGTGGCAAAGAAGAGCTCTGAAACGTTCTCTGGAATGGTTGCCGGAGCGACGCCCACCAAGCACGAAAAAGAGAACCACGAACATATCAGGTGAATCTTCGTTTCAAGTGCGACGCGGAGCAACACAAGTTCGGCGGAAAAGAAGTGGCATGCCCCGAACGGATTTCATGCACACAAACGGCGGTCAAAAAAGATCGTTAGCTCACAAGTCGTGCAGACAGTTCGCTAGATTCTCTGCCGAGGGCGTGCGGTCTTGTTAGGGGTGTGTGCTCTGGAAATTATGGTGGGTACAACAGCCGAACTTATCACCGAGGCAGTGCGGGCTGCGCGTTCTTTGCTCGTTATTGGGTCAGGCCTGTCTCTTCGTTAACAGGGGTAGGCCTCGTAACACGCCGACAGCGTGTCAAACGACCGGTTAAAGAACAACCCCCTCGGACAGGGGCTGGGGCAACTTCTCCTCTCGGAGAAAGGATGGCCGTGCAACGGCAGTTGAATTTGCGTGGACTTCTCAGACCCGGTGTTTCTCCATCGTGCCCCCAACGTTCTTTAGTTGTGGCCTTGCGTCCAAGCCCTGACATCGACCGCATGTTTCTCAGGTCAAGATCTAATCCTCAACTGGCGCTGCTGCCCCCGCGGCCCCGCACCGCTGCCGCTGGGGCTGCTGGGGGCACCGGCGAACGTAAATCCGAGGTGAACACGAGCCCTGGCAAGAAGCGGTGAGGTTCTCATGTTGTTTTAGGTGTTCGCACTGCCAACGATTGTTCAGGAGGCCGTTCGCTTGTTGTCGTCGGCGGTGTGGGTCCTGGGCGGTAGGTATTGACAACATAGGGAACATCACTTCGCATGGTCGACCAACGTTACGAGGATTTCTTAGATTCCGCCGTGGAGTCAAGCAATACCGTGGTCGCCCGCATACGTTTCTGCGCTGGAGGCATATCAGATCAATCAATGCGCCCGCACTCTAATTCGATGTCGGTGTACCTGGCAAGCGCGTCAACATGCTCAAACAAGCACGACCCGTCCCAGCGTCCCGTGTGTTGTACAAATGAGTGTTTGCTTGAAAATGTGGTACCAACAACCAACCAGATACCGTAGGACCCTCAACTTGGTGTGTCGGGTCGAACATGAAATTGAGAATATCTCCCATTGCACTGTGTCCCCGTCGTACTCTCCAGTGAATCTGCTCCGCTGGGGGACCATGGTCGCCAACCCCAAAAGGCCAAGGCAGATACATCCTCTCCCAGCAGGGACGGTATCGCCAACGCCGTAGTCGGCAGGGCGCAGACCGCGGACGGGCCACGGCGCAGGAAGGTGGAAACGGACAGTTCAGACACAAAGGTAGTTGAGGGGGCTAGGTGGACTGCCATGTGGCGCTTCGTCCCGATAACTCAGTTATTCCAATCTGGTACGTTTCTATTGCTCGCCTGTTTTCTCTTGGTAGGGTCTGATCGCTCCCAGGTCGAGAGGGCGGGGGGGGCTACATCCTGCAGTTCGGGTCATCTCCGTTCATGCTGGATTGTAGTCCTTGGGAATAGGATTGACCGATGTGTGTGCGCGGAATCATGGCAGAGCGCTGGTCTCTCCTTGGTGCCTGCTTTGCCTGAGGATAATCTGAAGTCGGTGATCTTCAGCTTGCCCATGCGGCAGAGCTTGATCGAAACGTTGTTTAGCAGAATCCCCTTTGATATACCTCCACAGGTCCCTGAGCCATCCCGGCAGGGCTACTTCAAGCGGTTTACGGCGAGTGGTGGGGATATCGACAGCACCTCCCCAATGAAGGTCGGGGAATAGGCTACACCAAAGACGTCCCACGATGGAAACTATTTGTTGTGTTGAGGGAGGGAGTCAATTCTTCCGGGATCTTCTAATATTTATCTATCCAACTGAGAAGACAAGAAAGAGGGGTCCTTCTTTGTTTCTCGTTGTGTACCGTTTGGTAAACCGTCCTTGGTGCATTTGATCCACACTGAAGGGATACGTAGGGGGCCGGATCCATCGTGATACACAACACAATACAAAGGTACGGAACATCCAGAGCCAAAACGATCGATTTTGTACTCCGCCTAACACGCATGTTGTGGCATGTCGCGAGACGTACAATTTTCTTGGTCCGGGACATGGTGTCATCTGCTTGAGCTAATGCGCTAGACAGAGACTGCATGGGTCTAGGTATTCGTGTGTCGACACTTGTTGCATGCTCTGAAGTAGAGCATATACTATGTCTAACACAATTGCGCTAGGTGTCAAAGAGTGCCCCCGCGCTGCCTGACCTCGTCGGACAACGGCCTGAGGTGCCCAAGACCACGCCCATCCACCGCGTCATGAAGAAGTGAGAGCCGTACGCTGAGCTACCCTGTCGCGGTTTCAACGATATTTCTTCCTGGGGTAAATTGACAAGATTTCACGCTCTATTGTACGCTGTCCGATCGGACTGCGGACGGTCCTGTGAGACCAAACAATGGCTCAATCCCCGGCAGTGTCTGCAGCAATATATTTGGGTAGGCTTTCATCAAAGCCTTGGTCTCCCGCCACCGTTCCTCGTTGAGCCCTCACGGTAATACTCTAGCTAGCTCGGCAGCAGCTCTGACACAATGCACATGCTAAGTGACCCAGATACTACGAGAATCTTGCCTGACTTAGAGCCTGCGAAGGAAACAGTGTTTGTGATGTGCGTGTTCAAAGTGCCTGAAACAGTACCACGGCTGCGGACGATGTAAAATATCGAGTTTATCGTAACGACGTATCTGTGTCTTTGAGAACATCCGTGTCATTTTGAACGAACCTGGAGTTGACACGTGATCAGGCTAGAGATTGTTCTCGAAACGGTTCTATGTTTCGTGTTGTGCGGTAGGGACGTGGCGAAGAGCGCGACAAACCTCCGAAAAGCTTTCAAGCAGTGCGAAAACCCTTACCGCCGTGGCGTCGTGAGCGTGGAGCAATTCCAGGTATGATACATGGCAACCTACGTCCACCATTTCTCCTGCGGTTGTTGTATTGCCTTAAGTTGCTATTGCTTCTATCGTAAAAGTGTAATGAGTTGGGTCCCTCCTCTCGCTCTGACGGAACTTTTCGTACAATCGGGTGCTGCCACACAAAACGGATCGTCACCTGAAACATCTGGTCACAGCCTCCCCCGTCACTGAGTACTCAATCTCTCTCCCAGACTTTTCTTGAGTGCCCAAGCTCGACCCACTTTCTTGGCGCCAAACCTCTAAGGGTCGGCATCAAACGAAAAACCATCTTGGTTCCTATGAAATCGTTGCCTCTAGGTGCAAGCTATTGTGTGAGTTTACTGCAGTGCATGGATTTAAACGATATGGTTGCGTGTGTGTTATCATGTGGCAAACGTTTCATTGTGGCATACTATTGTCTTAGTAATGGCAAATATTTGTTTTTGGGCTTCCATCTGACTACTCTTCTGCAGGCGGTGTGCCTCAAGAACGGAGTGACAGTGGACAAGGAGGATATCGACTTCCTCTTGCGACTGCACCGGTACGATGTGCGGCTTCCGTTATTTGGCAGCAACCCAAAACATAGAGTATTTTACCTTACCTGAGTACAGGTTCGCGTCTGCTGTCCCCTACCCTTTCACTGCCCTTTCAAATTCGCGCAAGTTGGAGCATTCCCGACGTTGAGTGTAAGTGGTGTCGACAACGATCTCCCCGCTCCCTGTCGGGCTTGTTTGTCGGGAATGTCGAAGCGCTGACTGTGGACAGTGTATGGGAAGGTTCCTCTCTCGTGTTGAACAGCACAATCCACCAGCACATAATGTTTTCAGCTTCCTTGCATCGGTAAAAAAAAAGGAAATAAAATTCTATTCCGGTCTGCCCGCGCTGATTTGAAGTGTTTCCCCGGTACGTCGGGGAACATACGTACCAAATTTACAGAACGGTATACTGTAGTGCGTAGTACACAAGAGATGGCGTGTGGAAGGTGCGTATGTTTACGTTATTGCCATTATTCTGACATCTGCCACACAACACACCTCTTCAGAGTGGACAGGGTAAGGGCTGTCGCAACAGTCTGTTGGGTGCCCCACAATATTCCGACACCCCTCACGCTAGCAACGTTCGAGGGCACCCTTCGGTGGATATGGAATTGTTCTGGGCCTAGGCGTGACTAGGCTATCGTGAGACTCTGCGCCAAAAGTACAGTGGGTGAGATCGCCGAAAGCACGGTGTGGTGCAACCTAGGGGACTCTCTGCCTCACTTCCGAAAAACGTTCGATCCCCTCCCTTTCTTTTAAACACTCCTCTCCCCTCTCTTCTCTATCTCTCCTTTATATGTCAGGCACAAGAACGGGGGCAGCAAGTATGCCATCCCGCCGAAATGGACGCGGGCCCCGTCCCCCGGTGCTTCGCGAGACACGGCTAAGGAAGGGGTACGTTACGACGAGTTTCTCCGCACGTGCCTCTCGGCCACATCTACCGAGGTGCCCATTGTGACGACCATAAGCTAACGAAAAGTCCGACCGTGAGGAGCTGCACAGGACTAAATCCAAACGCACTTGGTGTGGTAAGATCGTGGAAATGAGCGGCGGCACTTCCTCATGGCGAGATCCGCGAGCTGGCCCACGAGGCTACACCAAGCCCAGATTTCACACCTGCTGATCCGCACAGTTACCAAGAGGAAATTTGTACAGCGGTGATGTGGGGGTACGCTACATCCCTCGGTGTCATGGAATTGCAAGCCAGCTGGTTTGGTGACGACGAAGTAGTCGCGGTTCGTAGAGTTGAACGATGACTAATAGCACTGCAGAACGTGCCGTGACAAGCCTCTTTCTCACGTCCAGTGCCAGCGGTACCGGCGTGGAAGGGTTTTGAGGTCTTCTTGTCGAGTACGTCATAGCTGTGTACAGTCCATTTTTGATGAGATGAGAGGTAGGAATCGAAAAACATATAGTCTATTCAGTAGTCCCTACATATAAACACGTGTTTATTGGACGCGATGGGCGAAGGCACCACGTCTACTGAATGGCGTTAGTGTGTAGGTGGTATTCCAGGTATCCAAGCCCTTATTCTAGTCCTGGAGCACCTACCAAACCCTCCTTGGAAAGGCATAATGCTGAAGTGTCAAAATGGAAGAGCCTCCCTCCGTGTTAGATGGACGAATCATTCGCCTCACAAGGCTATAGGATGGCAATGACGGGGACGGAGAGAGGGCACTGGGTTCGGGTTCGTTAGAACACCATCGGCAATTGATTGAAATCGTCCAAGTACGCCGGTCTAGTCGGGGGGAGCTTGCCAAAAAAAGGCTTGTACGGTAGGTTGTGCAATCTAATACTCTGCCGTATGGGAGAGACGCCATGTACCATAGATAGACAGACGGCAGGAGACTGCACGGAGGGCGGGGAGAGGTGGGAGGCATACTGATGTACGGCTAGGTCTCCTCGATGCTGGAGTCTCAACGTACTGTTGTCCTATGGCCGACAATCAAGTGCGTAAAGGAAATGGGCTCGAAAATTGTCGGTTGCAATGGGACGGAAGAGAGTATGAGCAATAATACGGATGGATGAGTTCGAGGGGGGGCGAGGTCATGTACACGTCGTTGGCTGGACACGGAAGTCAGTACCGTTAGGCGACCCTGCTACTTTATTCCGGACATTGTGGCTACGACACGGCTTCTTGCAATGGGATCAAACCACAACGGGCCCTCAACGGGTCGGGGAACTGAGATGCGAGGAATATCCTGGGCGAGATTGGAACCTTTCTTTCAAAATATTGTATTCAGCTTGAAGTTTCGGTTATATGCCATGGAGCGGTTGCGGTCACTCGTTGAGAACGATTGGTTGTTCTGTAGATGAAGAGCCCAGTTTGGCACTCGACCCGATAACTCTCTCTTGTCTTCGACAAGCCCGGTGGGAACAACAGATCCCCGCACGCGTTGCCAACTTGATGAACAAATAGAATCACTCAGGTGCTTCACCAGATATATGGAAGGATAAGGATCGAAAGCTTGAAAAAAACAAAAGCATTTCAAGCTAGAAGCTTTGTCGCACCGCTTTCTTTACTCCGTTGTCGACCGAGTGAGACATAGAGCCATGTACATGGCGAAACCGCTCGCACACTGGTGCCGGGGTGAGGTGTGCCATCCCTACTCCACATGTACATACACAGCGATGGGTCGAACGATCAAGTGCCTCTACGAGCCCGCATTAAGGCCTTCGCTTCAGCCTGCATGGTCACGTCAAACACCTGGCGTTTCGGCGCCTCTTACGGACAGCATTTACGTCCTGATGTGGGTCGGGAGTGAGGGTGGGATTTGCAGAGGGCATCATCGCGTTTGAAATGTTCGGCTTTCCGGCACCCAGGAGGCACTGCGTCGCGGCCGCATTCCCACTGCAGACGGTCTGGAACCACACCTGCCTGCCGCCTTGTGCCTCACTTCACATTGCCTCAAGGCCACGCGTAGAAGGAGGTTGCTCCACCCATTTGTAATTTGGTCGATGTATAACCTACTACAATAGGTTCCATCGCCGGCCTTCAACGGCCTTCTCATTCTCCTGCCTCGCCTCTTCTGCAAGAGTATGAGAGACGCGTGTCCACCGGATCCAAGACCTATGTGTTCAAGGATGCACATAGCCTGTAGCCCGCTCCAGAGGGTCACGCGGAATAGGAGAAGCCGGATTGGTCGAAATCCGGACAACAGGTGGCAAACTGATGTACACTTTAGTTTTTCTCCCGCCCACCTGCCTACCCCTTTTCTTTCGAAGGTGGGAGGGTGGAGAATTCTACTGTACAAGAGGGCCATATGGCACAGACCTTCCTGATATTTTCTGTTACTCGGAGTTGAAGCCAGCATTTTTATGTATGGCATATGCATAGGCAGTTTTCGTTCTGAATGGTGAGTACTGCAGAGTATACGTGCCATGCGGAGGCTCACGTGTTCGGAGGTAGATACCAGGTAAATGTGTTTTGGTAGCAGAGACACGTCGGGATACGGCAGAGGCTTGGCGCTGAACGGCATTTGTGGTACGGGAAAAGTCTCTCTCCGTAGGCCACAGATCGAGTCAATTCTAAGTGGTCAATTCGAACGAAAAACAAGTACTCCGCTTTTTCCAGGAACAGATGGCGAAACGCGCAGGAAGCAAGCCGCACACGGTGATGTTATTCGGACTAACTATTATACATGTACGACAGTACACCTACTTACAGTTCAACCTAACCCTTGTATCCCGAACTCTTTCCCTCTTGCTTCCACGCGTAGTGTGATACCAGGGTACTGAACGCCCCCCGCCCCCCCAGTGGGCGCGGGGGCCCGAATCGCAAGCGAGAGGAATCGATGACGGTGAAAAAGGAGATAAAAAATGAGGACGGCGAAGAAGTTGGAAAGCTGATCAGAATTTGTTCCCGTGCGCGGGAGAGAATGGAAAGGCGTGGCTCCGCGTAATGTGTGATGAACGCACTACTATGTGAAGGTGATGGACGCTTGCCCAAAAAGAGATGTTTTTGTGGAGATAGATGTGACTTCCAACTCTGATCGAAGGCGACGTAGCTTAAACACGAGAAGGAGTGCAAGGATATTCGACAAAACTACCGATTGATGTGAAACGAACACAACACGAAACATTGTACGTAGCTATTGACGCCCAAAGGGCCCAACGCGACCCAAAACGTTGTGGTGAGGAATTGTAGACAAACATGCGGTCTCTTGTGCAGCGCACGATATACGTATACAGAGCGGCCACCCACGGTTAGTTGTAGCCGGTGTACAGCACACACATCGTTTTTGGCGTGGGTACGCGGCAGATCAGTGTGGACCTTAGCTCAAGCACGTCCTACACATGTTACGGTTCGGACGTTACGTCTCGCGTTGGCGAGTTCATGAGTATGGCGCTTGGTCAATCCGTGGGACATGCATGACAGCCGCGTGTGCACACCACAGGAGGAGCACAGGAGCACAGAGTTGGCAGCACAGAGAACTGCTGTGTTGTCTCCGCAATGTAGACAACAGCCAACACCCTGAACACGTCTTGTTTGTATTGCTTCTGCATGTGGTCACCACACGATTCCAGGATGTCGTTAACCCAGCCATAGCACGCGTACGGAAGCCCGTCAAGCCGTGAAGAAGTACACACCTCGTCTGCAACACTGCTGCATGTAGCGGAGAGAACTTGCCTTCCCCTGCTACATGTCAACGGCAGTATGCATACGACACCGACGCCTTTCCGCTCTAACGCGAAATGCCTACAACAGCTACATTTTGCATTCGTCAACTTCCTTCGACGCACGCCACACCCCACATGACGCACGTTTACTCTCAGCCGGGGTGTGCTGCGTTCAAGCCGCTTACTCAGCGGAGCCGCGCAGATTTTTTCAAGAATTTTCTTTACACGGAACCGCAAGAATCTTGTCAACGAACGTTTTAGGGAAGATGTTGCTCGACGCCGAGCCACACATTCTCAGTTCAAACTCGAGACAGTCAGAGAACTGTACATTGGGGTTGCCGCGTATCACCAGCACTTTCAACGTCGTCACTCACCAGGGTGTTAGTGCCAAGCGAACCCAGTTGCCGAAAAGGTTTTTCTTCTGTATGACTGCTGTCGTTCAACCTGTCGAAGGAAACAAGCGCCGGGCCGTCTTGTTTCGATCTGACGTTGGGTCCCTTTACTCCATGGAGCCATTGTGTTCTGGAACTCGCGGGTACGTAAATACGTCTGAGGACATGTAACTAAGATACAGTATGTAGGTTGTTGTGGGAACGCCGAGGCGCATACATTGCGCCTTTCGTTGCCTCAGTGTGGGCGGTCCCACCTTCACGAACATTTAATCATACACGCCTTCGCCTCACTCATAGACAAAGACTACGGTCAACTTTGCCCTGCCCTGCATCATCAATGCCGCCGTTTGTGTGATTTTTACCTTGGGTGTCATTCGGGCTACAATGGGCGGGGGCGCCTCTTTAGTTGCCTCCATAAACTACGTACCATGGACGCATTGTGTTGGGGGTTAACTTGAAAAGAGGGACCAAAGCGTTTTCTTGCAGCCAGAGGTCAAGACGTCCGCTTTCATGTCACATTGTGATTGCCTCACGTTTTCTGTCCTTTTGGGTCGTTTTGGGTCGGGTTGTACCCTTGCGCGTCAGTAGCTTTATCGTACGTACAATATCTTCCATCCGTTGAGCTTGTGTTGTGTTCGTTTCACATCAATCATTACTTTGGTCGAATACACCAGACTACATATATGGGATCCTTGCACTCTCATATTTAACCCTCCTCGTATACCCAGTCCCCCGCAAAAACAAAATGCCAAAAAAATGTTTTGTCAGGCATTGAACGAGGGGCTACAGTCCCTCCAAAGAATCTGAGTTCCTTGCCAGACAAAGGGTGACTTGGCTTCAGTATGAAAAGTGTCCCCAAAACACGTGGGGACACTTTTCGTACTGAAGCCAAGTCAGCAAAATTTTTCAGTACCAGGTGATGTACAGTTTGCCAATTTTGCGAACTGGGGGGCACGCGGG